GCAATCTCATGCATCCGCCACATCCATAACTACGGAACCTCTTACTCGTGGGGAGGTAGGTCTTCACGAATCGTGAATGGACCTAACCGGCTCGGCAATCTAGCCGGCCACATACTCAACTCGCCCACAGAACCACTCTCTTGGTTCTATATCTTTCTTTCTTGCTTACTTTCTCTGTGGAATCAGGTATCGTACTTTTAGTGTGCACACCCCCTAACCAGGATTCCAAGCCCGGCGGGAAGTCTCCAACCTCGTAACGTGGGAATACGCTGCGTTACATAGACTGGGACCGCAATGTCCATAAAATCATCCGAGAGGACATAGTCCAAACGGGGTCCTCCAAAACCTCACCGATATTGATAGTAAATAAATATATCTCTCATGCATGCAACATTTCAACAACTTCTCAATGCATCAAGACAATGATATACCACATGCTCATGAATTTTTGAAAATAATACTTAGGCTCACGTTGGCCACTTATGCACTTTTAAAACATGATATGCTTAGAATGCAAAAATATTGTACAACATACCTCCCTTCTATAAATTGCTGTGGACTCTCAAAGGACACATGATCATGCTTGAAATTCATAATTTGACAGATAATAGCAAATAATTCTCATGCATTTGGAACTCAAATTGCTAAATTTAAACTCATTCTCTGGACAATAACATTTAAGACTAACACGTTCTGTAGACTTCAATACTTGGAATTTGACAATAATCTCTATGAATCATAACATACAACTTAGGCATGCTTTTCTAACAAACTTAACAAATATTGATCATATTTCATTATCTAACACTCATATAATTCCCATGTTTCTCAAATAAATAGCCAAAACCAACACTTAACAATTTCTTCACTGTAAACCTTCACAACAATTCTCAGCAACATTCTTCTTTACAAATTCTAACACAAAATGCTAATTTCTACTCCAAATTCAACAAAATCAAAGCCCAAACGTGCGTCATGACGGCCCCAAGGTACCGAGCCACAAGGGCCCGTGACACCCAGACCGAAACGACACGTAGCTGAGCCATAAGGGACCGGCCAGTACACTGATTTGGCCTGGCGGGGCTTGAGAAGCCCCACCACTCAGCCCCGCCAAGCAACAGGGCTTGGCAACGGGCCTTGCCATCGTTCGCTGCCATGGTCCACCACTCAACGGGGCTTGGCTAACGGACCTTGCCATGGTCCGTTGGATGTTCTGGTGCACCTTCTGTGTGCACCAGACAACTTCTTCATCATCTGCAAACATTTTCAAGCAATTCCAACACATCCAAAATATTATCAACACATCATACACAAGTAATAGATCACTTCCTAGCTCAAACACAACAAGAATCTACCATTTCTACTCATTTCTATTCAAGAATCTAGGCTTCACAGAGCCAAAAATAAAGAGGGAGTCCATGGGATTATACCTTGTTGTCTCTTCTTCTTGTTCTTCTTCCTTGTGTGAATTTCAACCTCCACCCTACTCAGACCCCATTCCAATCACCATTTAGAAACCTCAAACAACAACACAAACCAAGCTTAACCAAACTCAGAGATTGAACATAGGAGGATGAAAACCTTAAGGGAAATGAATGGATGAGAATGAAAGCTAGGAAACTTACTGCTTTGTTTCTTCTTTGTTTACAGAGAGCTCAATAAGAGGGGAGGCAAGGAAGAGATCAGGAAAGACAAAGCTTTAGTGTTGAATAAATAGGGTGCAAAACCCTAGGATAAATGTCAATGATTGGTTGAGGGCTAAGTGGGAATTTTGCTTGCTTTTACAAAGATCAGACAAAAGCTTGGAAGTTCTAAGGTATATTTCTAAGGACCCTCTATTCCTCTCGCCATTCAAGAATCTAAGGTATATTTGCACTATGGACCAAGGTCTAGAATCATAGTTTAAAATAGTTTTGGGGTCAAAATGCATTTTTCCAAAAATGATTTCTAAGGTATATTTCTAAGGACCCTCTATTCCTCTCGCCACTCAAATCAACGAAATCCACCGATTATATTCAAAAAAGTTTGTAGAGAAAGAATTTGCCAAGGGCAATGTAACACCCCCTTTTTCTTAAACTTACTTAAACAACTAAACCTTTTAAGATAAACTAAGCAATAGAAATATACCCGAAAATTTAGGATTTTGGAATTAAAAAATAAGTTTTGGTGCTGAATTATTTCAAAATGTGTTCAAAATAATTTATTCAAACACCAATTGATCGCAAAAATTTTTAATGGAGTGAAAATGGCTATTTTGGAATTTCTTAAAATTGAATTTATAAAATTAAATTTTGGGTTGTTACACTCTATCCCCTTTAAAAGAAGTTTCGTCCCGAAACTTAGAAGGAACGGATCGATTTTCTTGGAACGGTAGCTTTCGAAAAGGTGACAAGAATTTCAAGAATTGGCTTAGAAGTTCTCTTGGAGTACTAAGAAGAAGTGGAACCTCTGAGTTCCAAACAAGCACCCAAACAACTAAGGCGTTAAGCTTAATCTAACTACTAGGAATTACTAACTCGAAGTTCTTTGTTACTTCTCTTATTCTTACCGTTCTTACCACTTCTTCAACCTCAGTACTATAGTTCTTCTTTGAGTTCTCACCCATATTATCATCCATACATCCACATTCTTTTACTTGTCCCTTCTTATCTTATTCACTTCTTAGATTCCTCACACTTCATACACCTCACAAGTCCAAAGTCATTGTCAATCATCTTAAACTTCATTTCTTTCGGAATTCACACCACTAGTTCATCTCTTCCTTAACTTCTTAAAGATAGAAGGAACTATCTTACTTATGAATAACTCAATCTTAAGTTTCAATATAATTCTCTATGTTTCTAATTCAACTTTTAGCCTTTGAGTCTAACCCTTGAAGATCTCTCCACTATCAATCCAACAGCATAATAGCCACAGAAGGTTGAAACTAACTCATCCAAAACATCAACAACACATCATATATAAGTATTAGATCATCTAATAGCTCAAACACAACATATATTTAGCATGTCTACTCATTTCTACTCACTAAAGATTTCACAGAGTCTTGTAAAAAGAATGGGAGTCCATGGGTTATACCTTTGGAGCTTTCTTCTTCTTCTAGCTTGGTTTCCACCTCCCTCCTTAGCTAGATACAACCTCCTTCACCTCCTAAATATCTCAAACAAACCACAAAACCAACCTTAACCTATAAACTCAGAGAAGGATGGAAGCAAAGATGAAATGGAAGGCTAGGATTGAAAGGGAAGATGATGAAAACTTACTGTCTTTCTTGGTGTTCTTGCAGAGGGAGCTCAAGGGTGGAAAAAAGGAGGCAAAGCTGCTAAGTGTCCAATTTATAGGAGCACAAAACCCTAGGTTGATTCCATATGATTGGTTGATGGCAAAAGTGTAATTTCTTTGGCTAAAAGATGAATCAGGAAAGGCTTTGGATGTCAGTGGTCCACCATACTCCATGAACCAAGGGCTAGAATTGCTATATCAAAATACTTTGGGGTTGAAAATAGAATTTTCCCAAAATGTTTTCTAGATGATCACTTGGTTTAAGTTTCTCAGAATTCTCCCGATTTCACTCAGATAGATTTCTCAGTTCAAAACGTGGCACGCAATGTACCCGGAAAATCAGGATATTGGAATTAAATCCATTCTTGGTGTCGAATTAAATTTAAAATGGCTCAAAATATTTTATTTAACACCGCTTTCTTTGTAAAAATTTCATGGAGTGAAAATTGGTTATTTTGGATTTTCTTAAAACCGGATTTATAAAATAAATTTTTGGGTTGTCCCATCTCATCCCCCTTAAAAGAAGTTTCATCCCGAAACTTAGGATAAAGAAAGGCTCACTCGGTAAAGAAGCTTTTGAGGGGTACCAAAGATCAAGGTTTGGTTTAGGAACTTCTTGTGGAATACTGGAAGGCTTAGGAATCTCTGAGTTCCCAGATACTTTATCTAAACTTAAACACGTCTAGCTAAGAAAACTTAACTACTAACTGAACTTGAGAGATTTAACTAATTACCTTGATCAAAGCCTCTCGAGGAACCTCCGGGTGGCATGTATCTAGGATCCCATCCATATGGTGTCCACCTTTGCACATTCTCAATTCCCATTCTTTCCTCCATTACCGCCGCTCTTTGGTCAAAGTTTGCAAATCCATAGCTGATTTGCGTGCTCAGATTGTTGAATCTTGTATTGATCATCTCGTACATATCCTTGTACGAGTGTCCTCTCTGACCTCCCACGTACTCTCCCTGCAGCTCTGACAGGTGTGCAGCAACTGGTTCTCCTTCATTCCCTACTCCTATCTCCTTATCTACTCTCACAGCATTACCTTCTCCGCTGCCTCGGCTATGTGTCTAGCCTCAATCCCTACACTTGCCCATCTCTTTTGTGGTATATTCAAGCTCACGACAAGTGCTATTTTCTCTTCCAAGGGATTCCTTGCAATCTGAGACAAGGTAAGGTACTCATTGTCCACAGTCTGGTACAACTTGTAGTACCTTAGAATGGTAGCTGTCAGAGCCGATCTCACGGTCCTTTGTACTCTCTCGCCACGCTCAGGCAGATTCATCTTAATAAAAATCCAACTCAACAACATGCCATAAGGAAAAGACTTCCTGTTTCTTGACTTGGTGTACGACATATGCTTGAGAATTAAAGCAGGCAAATTTATATCATGGGCAAATTTCAGGAAGAACGCAATAGTGCAAGTCCAACTGCCTACCTCATTAGAGTTGTGTTAGCATGACTAGTATTTTGTTATTATTATTTTATAATGTATAGTCATAGATTAGTGGTGTTAGATTAATTGACTTAGCTTCTCTATTAGTTAGGATTAGTTAGATTTTTATTCAACGATATACTCTGTAATCCTATCATTGTGATAATTCAACTTGAGGTGATTTTTCTAATCTGGTATCAGACAGGTTATCCGATCCTCTCCAACCTCCACCGCTAATTTCCCTCCCTCACCCTTCTCCTTCGACCGGTCTTCGACTTCTCCATGTCGACATCGTCTGAACGTACCGTCTCCGCCGCCGGAACCCCATCGCCGGCTGTCGAAAACTCACTTTCCGGTGCGCACCATTACATAACCATGAAACTTACGCTGAAAAATTATTTGTTTTGGAGGATGCAACTCCTCTCCTTCCTCCGCGGCCAGGAACTCCTGGGATTCATGGACGACAGCTATCCGTGCCCACCAGCGACGGTCCTTGGTGCACCATCCACCGGCGCGTCGACCACGACATTGGCCGAAGTAGTGCCGGTTGCCAATCCGGCGTATCATGCATGGATTAAACAGGACCAGACGATCGTGTCGCTTTTGGTCTCCTCCATGGCAGACGAGGTACTCCACCTTGCGCTCAGCCAGGAGACATCTGCTGAGATATGGACCTCCATCACCGGCGGACTTGGATCTTCCAGTCAAGCCCGTTGCCTCACGCTGCTCAGTCAGTTCCAAATGCTACGTCAAGGCAATTCGACGACGGCAGATTACCTTGGGAGAGCCGGGTCCTTGTCGAATCACTTATCAGGCTGGCCGGCCGCTAACCCTAATGGAGCAGAACTTGTACGTGATTCGGGGTCTGCGTCCGGAACTTAAGGCCCTGGCGACATCGTTGACTGCTACCGGAGCACCGGTGACTCTCACTCATCTTTCCGATTTTTTACAGGCACATGAGTTCATCCTAGTGGATGATTACCCGTCGCTTGATGCCGGAGTTTCTCACACTGCCATGTACACCGGGACTGGCCGTGGTTCGCATGGCGGTGGGAGGCAGCAGCAGTCCTCGCAACAGTAGCGAGGCGGACGGCAAGGGCGTGGTGGTGGTCAACACCGGGGAGGCCGTGGTGGTAGAGGTGCGCAGAGATGCCAAATATGCAGGTCCCATGGGCATTCGGCGGTGTATTGTTATAAAAGATACACAACACAGCCACCGCAACCTCAAGCGCATGTCGCTATGTCTGGCGAGATTTCGGCGTCTCCATCGACTGTGCCGGCGGACGGGTGGTATCCGGACACCGGAGCCACCGCTCATGCCACCCCGGACGTGACCATGCTCGGCCAATCGGATGAATATGGCGGATCAGATGTTCTAAGAGTGGGTAATGGTGCAGGTTTGTCTATTTCGCGAATTGGCAGTGCAACTATCCCATCCTTGTCAAAATCACTATGTTTAAATAATATCCTACATGTCCCGAGTCTTTCTGTTCCGTTGCTTTCCGTTCATAAGTTTACAGTTGACAATAACGTTTTTTTTGAATTTCATGATAATTGCTTTATTGTGAAGGACTCCACAACCAAAGCAGTACTTCCGGTGTCAAGACAAAATTTCGCGTTCGTCAGTTCCCGGGCCACTCCCACTACTTGGCATCGTCGGCTAGGAGACCCGCACAAGCAAGTTCTAAATAAAATTCTACAAAAGTGTCCAGTCACGCCCAATAAAGCCGAATCAATCGAGTCATGTACATCGTGCCATCTTGGAAAGTCGTCTAGATTGAAATTAGATAGCGTGCCCAATTCCACTAAAAATGTATTAGACTTGATTTTTACCGATATTTAGGGGCCTTCCCCTGTATTGTCTAATAGTGGTTTTCGCTATTTCTGTCTCTTTGTAGATGATTACTCCAGATTCTGCTGGTTTTATCCATTACGGGTAAAATCAGACATATATAAAATATTTGAGTCGTTTCGTGTCTTGGTAGAGCGCCAGTTTGTGCGTTCTATCAAATCAATTCAGTCCGATCTAGGGGGTGAGTACCGCAAACTACACACAATATTCCAAACTTTAGGGATAAATCACCGGCAATCCTGCGCATATATAGACGAACAAAACGGCCGAGTAGAGCGGCGTAATAGACATATAGTCGAAACAGGCTTAGCTCTACTCGCCGAAGGCAAAGTACCCCTCGAATATTGGACTATGCTTTTGAAACCGCAAACACCTTAATCAATTACTTACCTTCATCAGCCATAAATTATGAAAGCCCATATACCCGCCTATTTAATACTCCACCCCCATACACCTTCCTTCGTGTCTTCGGGTGTCGGTGTTACCCATATCTAAGGCCATATAATCGGCACAAGATTGAGTATCGCTCCACCCCGTGTGTCTTCTTAGGTTACCCACCGTCCTTTAGGGGGTATAGGTGCACTGATCTAACTAGCGGAAAGACTTACATCTGTCGTCATGTCCGCTTTGACGAATCTGTTTTCCCCTTTTCTACAGATTATTCAACACAAGTATCGCCTTCACCGGCCTTGCCCTGGGCAGCGGCACCAATTATCTCACAGGGTCCTACTCCGGATCCCACTCCTACACCGGCCCCGGTTGAGACACCGACACCTTCAGGTCCTGAGCCGGTACCTTTAGCCCGTGAATCTCCACAGTTGGCTATAACACATACTGCCCCAGTAAGGACTCGGAAACGACGTACCCAGCCGCAGAGTCGAGATCATGTCATGCGCCTTGGTCACATGACAAGGGGCTCAGATGAGCCGTTTCAGGCTTTAACCGCAGTTGCGGATCCCACGTGTTATTCACAAGCTGTGAGCCACGCACATTGGCGCGAGGCTATGGACCAGGAGTTTAATGCCTTACTGCATAATAACACCTGGCAGTTAGTTCCTCCTCAGCCTCACATGAACATCATTGGGTGCAAGTGGGTGTTCCGCACTAAACGCACTGCTGATGGTTCTGTCGAACGGTATAAAGCTCGACTAGTGGCGAAAGGGTTCAATCAGGTAGCAGGAGAAGACTTCTTTGAAACATTTAGTCCAGTGGTCAAGCCAACCACAGTACGGATGCTTTTCTCTCTAGCTGTGTCCAACAGGTGGACTCTACGACAATTAGATGTGCACAATGCCTTCCTAAACGGGCATTTGGTCGAAACCGTTTACATGAAGCAACCTCCGGGGTATGAGGACCCTACATCACCTGGGCATGTGTGTCACCTTCTGCGGTCTCTTTATGGCTTGAAACAGGCTCCACGGGCTTGGTTCAAGCGTCTTCATGATTTTTTGTTGTCTACAGGTTTTAAGGCATCTAAAACTGATGTCTCATTGTTCTATTATGCGATTGGGGACTCACGAGTGTTTCTATTGGTCTACGTCGACGACATAATAATGATGGGCAATGATGCCAAATTGGTTACTACGCTACTGCAACGTCTTTCCACTACGTTCAAAATTAGGGATCTAGGATCTCCTGGGTTCTTCTTGCGTATTGAGACGATTGCATCAGGCTAGGGTTTTATTTTGTCCCAACGTCGTTATATGACGGATCTTCTAGGATGTTCAGGGATGGTGGACTATAAGCCCCTCACTACACCAGCAGCTGTCACTAAACTGGTAACACCTTCTGAGGAGCTATTCGAGAATCCGACACAGTATCGGCGCATTGTTGGGGCCCTACAGTACTTGACTATCACTAGGCCTGACTTGGCATATGCAGTCAATCGGCTGTGTCAGTTCATGCACTCACCGACAGTTGATCATTGGGCTCTTGTGAAACGGGTTCTACGTTACATCAAGGGGACACTCGACTACGGGCTGCGTCTCACATCATCTCCTTCAACCAGTATCCATGCTTTTTCCGACTCGGACTGGGCTGGCTGTCTAATAGACAGAAAGAGCACCAGCGGTTTTGCAGTTTATCTTGGGACCAATCTCATTTCCTGGCTATCCAAGAAACAACGCACTGTCGCACGCTCCTCCACTGAAGCTGAATACAAGGCCTTAGCAGATGTGTCGGCTGAGGTCACCTGGGTTGTGTCGCTACTACGGGAACTAGGGATGCATTCTGGTCAGTCTGCAACGCTATGGTGTGACAATCTTGGGGCTACTTACCTATGTGCTAACCCCGTTTTTCATGCACGCACTAAACATGTAGAGATTGACTATCATTTTGTTCGGGACAAGGTTGCCTCGGGGGACTTCGTCGTCAATTATGTATCTACTACGGATCAGTTAGCGGACATCTTCACCAAACCGCTTCCGGCACCGAGGTTTGCTGCTTTACGAGACAAGCTCAATGTTGTCTCTCTACAACCTTGTGCTTGAGGGGGTGTGTTAGCATGACTAGTATTTTGTTATTATTATTTTATAATGTATAGTCATAGATTAGTGGTGTTAGATTAATTGACTTAGCTTCTCTATTAGTTAGGATTAGTTAGAGTTTTATTCAACGATATACTCTGTAATCCTATCATTGTGATAATTCAACTTGAGGTGATTTCTCTAATCAGTTGTTCCTATACGGGAACAAACACTCCTCTATCAGTAAAAATAACAACTTTTTTCTCTCCATTTAAAGAAGACTTCTCGGGTCTGTATTCCTTAGGAAATTCTGTCTGCTCCCGATTATGTACCTCAAGTACTCACGATAGGTTACCCTATCATGGGCAATCCAATCATCCCGATCATAAACATCTACTCCAGTCAAAGGCAAATCAAACCAACTAGCCAACTTTTGTGGCGTCAATTCTATCTTGGTACCTCTCACATTAGAGGTAACCTTTGTGACTCCCTTCTTGTGCTTAGTGGACAAGTTTTCATAGAATTCAATAACCAAATCCGGATAAATCTCTTCTTGGATCCTTAAAAATTTCTTCAACAACCCTCGATTGTCTAATATCGAATTGAAATTCTCAGAAAAATGCTCAGGAAGATAAGTTTTACCTCCGATGACTAAGTAGTTGGAACCGTCATGGCTAGTCTCCTCCACTTGCTTCTTTCCTTTGGTCATTGCTATCCAATTTCTTGAGTTGAACTTTGTTGGGCAGGTGTAGTTGACTCCACTAGGATTTTTTTCGTGCTTAGTGTAACTTGTAAAAGAATTTCTTGAATTTTCTTGGGAGAAATTTGGTGACTTGAAGATGATGGTGTTTCTTGTTGAAGGGAGGCAGCAGCTACCGTGGGGAAGAAGAAGAAGGGATTTCCCTTTTGCAATCTGATTTGGAAAAAACTGGGATAGAGAACAGGGCTAGGGTGCGGCCCTACTTATGCCCTGGTTAGATGGCTAGTGTCAGCACCCTGACACGGTCCTAGGTCACGGGCCATAACGTGGCCCGTGACCACATTCCGTTTCGACGAAACGGGCCACCTAGCCCTCCGTAGCCTAGATCCGGCTACGGGTTGGGTAAAGGGGTTGGGTCCAATCCGGCCCCAAATTCACTTGGTCCTCCGACTTTGTCCAAATCCCAACTAGGGTCAAAATTGAGAGTATTCCTTTACTTTTAGACATTCCAATTTCTTGGTCAATCCTTTGACTTTCCGAATTCTTTTTCGGGATTGCTTGAACCAACATAACTCAACCCAAACTTGGTTTAATTCTTTCTTAACGAAGATGGACTCTTTCCATTCTTACTTTACTTGGGTAGAATGCTACTTCCAGAATTACTTCTTTTAACTAAGATTCTAACCGTTCATTAACAATTTCGCCGCTACTCCTCACTAACTTGTTTCTACAAGCTTCACTTTCACACTCGGCATTCTTGCCCGACTTTTCTAAATTTTAAAACTTAGATTCTTAATTCACCATAAAAACACAAAATTCCACAAATTTTCTCAAGCACAAAAGCCAACAGGTAAAAAGGAAAAAACAAAAGCACTTAATTCCAGTTTAGAGTGTTACCTTTCTCCACTTTGCGTCCTCCGGCCTGGGTCTGCCCCATGACCATAATCTTGCCCGATCCATCTCCTACCGGACGTCCTGACTGAGCTCTTCCTCACCCCTGACTGTCATTCCTATGAGAACCTCCTCTAGACTGGCCTCCTCGACCCATCTCTCTGCTGGGTGCATGGCTAGTCTGACCTCTAGGTGGCTGGCTCGGGGTCATGACATGAGATTGCCCCATCTTCGGGAACCAGCAAACTGCATCTCTATGGCCCGGTCTCCCGCACTGAAAGCAGACCACGGGTGCTCCTCCACATATGGTCTTAGGGTGATCCTTGCCGCATCTCGGTCACACCACACTCTTCTCACTAGAGGGTCCTCTAGCTCCTACTCCCTGTCTCATCACCAGATTCTTCCTTTCTCCACTTCGACTGTCGCTCCTGCCTGTTGGGTTAAACCGATGTCCTTTGCTTGACTGGGCCTCCACACTCTCATTCTTTTTCTTTGACCCATACATGGCATCTCTATGGAGTTGCTAAATTCGAGAATGACCAGCCGCTGCATCGTAAGCCTCAGTCAGTGTGGCAAACCTCGTGGTAGCAAACAACTTCTGTGCATCAAAATGCAGTCCTCGAACAAACTTCCGAGCCTTGCTGGCCTCATCCGGTGCCAAAGTGGGAGCAAAGCGAGACAACGCCACGAAACGTGTATGATACTCCTGAACTGTAGAGCTTCCCTGCTCCAAATGTAAGAACTCCTCATACTTAGCGGCCTTGACGTGCTCTGGATAGAATCTCTCTCTCAGTACTACCTTGAACATCTCCCAGTCAAACCCTTCTCTTTCCTTGATAACCGGTCCTTCCATCACTCACCGATGGTCAGCTTCTCCTTGAAAGTAATACACGGCAGACTCTACTCGCTGATCCATCGGGCAGCCTACCACGTCAAATAGCTTATCGAACGTGCGAATCCAACTCTCCCGAATCTCCGGGTCCTATTGGCCCAAGTAACTCGGTGGATTGCGCCTAGTGATCTTCCTAAACACATCCCCGCCAGTGTTGTTCCCACTAAGTACTGCCGCTCCTATCGTCTGGGTCAGCTGCGTGAGCTGGCGTAGACTCTCAGTCAGGTCTGTAGAAGACGATGCTCCAGGTCCTGACGATCGAGGGGTCTCCTCTCTAACCCTTCGGTGGCATCGCGATGATCCATTAACATGATCAGGACATATCATTCTTGTTAGCACAACTAAGGGTTAACTTCAGCTAGCTTCTCTATTCTTAGAGCAAGGCTTAACAAACAAACATAAGCAAGCACAAGCAAAAACTCTTTTACTTAGCCACTTACGCAAAACCTTTCTCTTTTACATCTAAACTTTCAAGATTCATAACTTCTAGCTTTTTTAGCTTTTCACTTTCAACTTGAAACTCTTGGTTTTTCTCTTTCAACTTCTCACTTTTAACTTCTCTACTTTACTTTCAAAGATAAACAAAAGCACTTAAAACACATTGATATAGCACATAAACAGTTAAGCAAATGCAAGGTAAACTCACAACCTCACCGCGTTCCCTAACAGATACTTAGAGTTTCTCTTAACTCCGATTCTTATACTCGTTTACTGAACTTAGAGTCTTTCTCACATCGAATTTCATAACTTAGGGCTCTTTCCCAATCTTATCATTCTTAGGATTTACACTTAAGGTTTTCTTCTTAACTTGTCTTTCCTAAAGACTTCAACTTAGAGGTCTTTTCTCAACTTGTCTTACCTAGGACTTTCACTTAGAGTCTCTATACTCAATCTTAAGGGTCAAACTTCCTAAGTCTCCCGCGGTTCGTACCTCTCTGATACCAACTTGGGACACCCCCTTTTTCTTATACTTACTTAAACAACTAAACCTTTTAAGATAAACTAAGTAGCGGAATTAAACTTAATTAATAACTTTGTTAGGAATAAAGTGTAATGGTTTTGATATGCCAAATATGTATTTGTAGAACCCCCAATTTTATTTTATAGGTCTAGTAGAGTCTAAGACCATGATCGAGAAATTATTTAAATTGGAAAAGAGAAAAACAGAGGAAGATGCATGAAAATAGAAGAAGAAGATATAAAGTCTAAAATCAAGAATTTGTCTGGAGAAAATGACAAATGGAAGAAGATGAATAATATGAGTTTCACGTCGCTACTACTCAATAAGATATTCCAGAAGAATTTTCGTGAAAGAAAATTATGATTGGAAGATTGCATGAATTTGACTTGGAGATCAAGCATCTATGGAAAGAAAGGAGTACACCAAAGATGATTGAAAATTTAACCAATATACGTACGGACGAAGTGGAAGATGCTTGATTTATTATGCGAAACGGCTCAAGTTCGAATCTCACCATTAATAATTTTACAAGGTAAAATTTGAGAAGTCAAAATTAATATCTGATGGAGTTGGGCGCAAGTTTGGCTTTGGGCGCCAATTACAAGTGGAAATTGGGAAGCAATTTCACTTGGGTGGCAATTGAGAAGCAATTGCACTTGGGAGCCAGTTTGGCTTTGGGCGCCAAGGGCGCCAATTACAAGTGGAGAGGAAATTGGGAAGCAATTTCACTTGGGTGGCAATTGAGAAGCAATTGCACTTGGGAGCCAGTTTGGCTTTGGGCGCCAAGGGCGCCAATTACAAGTAGAGAGGAAATTGGGAAGCAATTTCACTTGGGTGGCAATTCAGAAGCAATTTCACTTGGGAGCCAGTTTGGCTTTGGGCGCCAATTACAAGTGGAAATTGGGAAGCAATTTCACTTGGGTGGCAATTGAGAAGCAATTGCACTTGGGAGCCGATTTCATAGGAATTGAAATTGGGAGCTAGTTTCAGAGAAATTGAAATTGGGAGCAAGTTTCACAAGGGAATCAATTCAAGTTAGGAGCCAATGCATGAAAGTGGGAGCTAGTTTTAGAGAAATTGAAATTGGGAGCAAGTTTCACAAGGGAATCAATTCAAGTTGGGAGCTAATGCATGAAAGTTGTAGTATGGGATGCAATTTCAGCTGGGAGCCAATGCACGAAAGTTGTAGTATGGGATGCAATTTCAAATTGGGGACCGATTCAAAGAAGACATTGAGATCAAATTGAATTGAGATTAAATTCAGTACCAGGAGAAGTCTGGGAGCCAATTTCGAAGTCAAAGTCAAATAATTTAAATTGGGAAGCAATTGAAGCACTAGGAGTAGATTGGGAGCCAATTACAAGTCAAAGTCAATTGTGTGCCAATTACAATGGAGAAATTCCAATTGGGTGCCAATTACAAGTCAATTGCAATTGGGTGTCAATTACAAAGGAGAAATTCAAATTAGGAGGAAGTTCAAAGCCAGTTTGAAGTCTGAGAACACCCAGACGTGAGAATGAAGAAGATGAAGAAAAACTTACAGTGAAGAATTTCTCACAAAGGAAAAATACTAGTCTAACTAGTATGGGATTAAATCTAAGAATATTTTGAAGTATTTAAATCCCAAGAACCACTTCAGAGCTAATCAGAGAAGCCATTCTACACAAAACTGAGACCCAGATATTTCCAAGAAACATGAGAAAACCAGAGGAATATCATATGAAGTTTGGGTACTCATTTACATGGAGATGA